TCAGCGCACACCAAATTGCATTGGGGCTGCATTGTAAACAATGGCCAGCGCAGCTCCAACGCATGTGGTGTGAATGGACCCTTAAAGAGAACCTGTGCTTTGTACATGCAGAGCAAAGCAGTTGGTTCATGGAAGCCCCCGTTCTGCATATATTCACTTTTCTGTCTCTTTCCCCACCGATCTGTTTTTACTCCCAGGACTAAAGATGATTATCCATTTATTCCAGGGTATGGGGGAGCATGTGACTCTCCTTTCCTCCCACATGACAGTGCTGGTGCTTGGTTCTGGCAGTAAACAGAGCAACGGAAGAGTGAAGAAGTTAATTATAAGATGCTGCAGAGAAAGGCTTTAAAGTTAGCCTGTTGATTTGGCCTGCGTGGTCAGATGTACTTCAAAAACTGTCTATAGTTTTGTTATGCTGGAACTAAAATGTTTTGCTCTAGGAACTGTCTGCATTTCCCTCCAGCAACCAAGCGGCTCTACTCCACTCTTGTTCCTGTGCAGGTTTGGAAATGAAAGGGTTAACCTAGTCACTGTGGGTAATGCTAGCCGTTGTTATCTGAGACACTCAAGCATGGCCAGCATCTTCAGATACATGAGCAGGGTGTGTCTATGTTTTGCTGCTCCACCTTTTTCACATATTACCTCAACAGAGAGGAGTGTGCCCAAATTGCGGAGTTTTCTGTGCCTAAAGCCCGGGAATAAAATTAGGGGAAGATTTTAAAGACGAGTGGGAATAAAGAAATTGTGTGCTTTAGGCTTGTTTCCTACTTATCAAACCAAGACCTGAGGTTTTAAGGGAACCTGTCATATCTTAGGCAGCCACTGGCCAACTTCTGGTAGTTCTGGTTTAGAGCATGGCTTTGCGGCATGTGCACAACAGTGGCCACAAATAGAGTCCAAATTCTGTGGTGTATATTTACTGACCCCAGATGTACATATTGTGCATTAGCGGCTGCATGTTTTTAAAAAAAAAAATTAATTTACACTTAAGCTGTATATTTTTCTATGTCCCGACCCTTCGTGCCCTATCCCCCCCCAACCTCTGCCAAATAAAAAAAAGTGGAAAGGTACTTCCACCCCATCATTTTTCTGTTCACCCATTGCTCTGGGAACATGAACAGGGGCTCCGCTATAGGAACATTACTAAGTTAGACACAGGCATTCCAGTTCAGCTACATCAAGGGATGCAACAACAGGTTCTCTTGTTTGTCTCGTAATAGCCCAGAACTGTCACTAGGGGGAGCTGTGCCTTCTGAAATGTTTTATGCCAAGTATTCTAATTAATACCAGGAAATAGGACAATCATAAGGTAAACATTGCAAAATCTCGTACAACTGTGCAAAGTGATCTATTAAGCTGTAAACATTACATAATAAATGCACAACTGCCATTGTTTGTTTTTCCTTTAATTTTCGCTACAGTTCTGTAATGCTCAAAGCAAACCGGTGCCTTGTCCTTAAGACCTCATTTACACTACTAACAGCTGGCCTGTACAGATCCATGTTGCGTGCACAGCCGCATCGGGCTGCTTCCGGGAAAGACAGGTGCTACGTGTGATTGCACGCAGCAACCTGTTCTTTATGGGAGTACGCAGCCGCTCGCTCACCCGAACTGCACATCCGTGTGGGTGTCCCTGCTCGGACGCAGACCGGATCCATCCCGTCTGCGTAAGAGTACAGACACCCGCACGGACGTGCAATTTGGGTCAGCAATCACAAGCAGCACCTGTCCTTCCCGGGAACAGCCTGATACGGCTGTGCACGCAGCATGGATCTGTACGGCTGTTAGTAGTGTGAATGAGGCCTTAAGGTTCATGTAGCAGGTTTGCTTTAGTGCCCCCCTCTCCTGCAGCATATGTACAGACTTGGCTCTAAAGCTGGCCATACATCTTAGTTTTGGTGGATCTAAAAAAGTTGATAGTCTAATTGTACAATCAGGGTTATTCACAAAAGGGTGAAGAGTTTGGAGAAGGCAGAAGTGAACAATCTAGGACAGCATAGCTGAACTGGAGAATGTTTCCAAATCCGCTATTTTGTCCTAGATTGTTCACTTCTGCCTTCTCCAAACTCTTCAAACTTTTGTGAATAACAATGTATATATTACATGGACATACCTTTTAATAATCCATCCAATCTTGACTTGGTTTATAGATCAAAAATAGATGGTACAATTAGATTGTAATGTATATGGGCAGCTTAATATCTTTGCAAGCAATTCTGCTTCCCTAAGCAGGCATGCAATATAAAGGGGTGATTGGCTGCCTTGCTTTGGTGACAATTTGGCCTGATAGCAGTGATCACAAGTAATCATCTGTTGTGGTAGTTGTGTCTTTAGAACTTACTAGCTATGCCATCCTTGCCTGTGACCAGGGATGAGGCTCTTTGATGAGGCCTTTGTAAAAGCTTATTCTATCAAAAATGAAAATGTACTAATTGAAAGGCCTGATGCCACTACTACAGCTGTGCTGGTCGATCAGATCGAGAACAATAAAAACTTCTGCTTTAGACTTTATTTCTGAAAGCTGAAACCTACACTACGTACCAGCATGTGAAAACCTCTATATTGTTCTTGTGAAACCTAAAATAAAAATGTAGACTTTTATTTTCAGATTTCGTGTCTCGTTCCTTTTTATGTGATGTATATGAATGTGTTTGATTTTTATAATAAAAACTGTTATAAAAGTCACCCCCTATCCTTGCTAGGCACCCTCTACTGTCTAAACTTACTGCTGGTCCAATCCTTGCTGCACACAAAACCTTGGGACTGGTATGGGAAAGTAAGGATGGGAAGAGAGTCTAGGCCTCCTATGAGGGATGAGAGAGAGAGAGAAGAGAGAGAGAGAGAGAGATCCGGCCCGATTCTGTCGAACGCACTGCCTCGCATTGCGGCCGGCTTACTTTTTAGTGGGGCAGGAGGGGGCGTGGCGGGCCATTGAAGTGAATGGCACCATAGCCATGCCCTCTGGCTGCAATGGGATCGCAAGGCATATTGTGCCTGCGATCCGGTGCAATCAAAATAGTGCTTGCAGCCACGCCCCCTCCTGCCCCACTAAAGAGTGAGCTGACCGCAATGCGAGGCAGTGTGTTCTGGCCAGAATCGGGCCGGAACGCACTGCAACTGGTGTGAACGGGCACTTGAAGTTGTGTGTGTAGCTGGCATTAAAGTGAACCTGTTGTTTTGCGGTGCATAAGCAAAGTGCAGGTTAACTTTAAAGTATGTCTGCCATAAAAGTAATATGTGGGTTACTACAATTGCACTTCCAAAAGGCGTATTACCTGACTGTAGCTAGCTTCCTTACATCACAGACCCAAGACAAGCATGCATTAAATGTCAAGATTCCTGTATTTGTTCTGGATCAGTGACAACAAGCAAGAGGGTAGGTGTGACAGCCACGCAATAAGCATTTCAGCAGAGGTCAGCAATGGCTACCTCCAATATTATTTCTTGATATTTCCTTTAAAGAATAGCCATATTCCTCATGTTTATAAACATCTACATTATCTATACAGTGAGAACTGAAGGAGCAAATTCTAAAATGGATATACAAATATCTTCCTCTTGCGTCTCTGGGAAAGAAAGTAAAGTGAAATTATCACATTACGCCAGGCCTCATTCACACTAGAAACGGTCGGCACGTACAGCTCCATGCTGCGTGCACGGCCGTATTGGGCAGCTCCTGGGAAGAACAGGTGTTGCGTGTGATTAGTAGGCAGCCCCTGTCCTTCTCTATGGGAATATGCGGCCCTACGCTCACCTGCCCTGCATGTCCGTGTGAGTGTCTGTACTCGTGCACTGACGGGATGGATACAGGCTGGGACACCCGCACTCGTACGGACCTGCACTTGAGGTCAGCGTAGGGCGGCGTACTCCCATAGAGAAGGACGGGGGCTGCGTACTAATCACACATAGCACCTGTCCTTCCCAGGAACAGCCCGATATGGCCGTGCACGCAGCACAGAGTTGTACGTGCCGGCTGTTTCTAGTGTATATGAGTGCTTACAGTAAGTGGTAAATATGTCCCATGCAAGTCCTTACAGTGGTGGCACTGAGCCACTGATATCGATGATTTCTCCAATGTACCTTCACGTGATAAACGGAAAGAGCCCTATATGGGTGAAACCTATCAGAGTGAGGAGGTGGACTCGCTTACATATGAGTGGCCTGTGGGCTTGTGAGTAGAGGTTTTTTGCTTGATGGCTGAGAGCACCTTCAGATGTGCTGCACTATGCTGGGGATGCCATATTGCATGCAGCCCGCTACCTGCATTTTCACCATTAGCTCTTCCCAGACTTCTGGAACAGACATTGCACCAATGGCTGGAACACGTAGGGAGGATTATGAAAATTATATACACACACACAGTGACGCACCATTGATGCGTCCAGGGAGAGTGACTGATTCTTAACCTCATGTAATCGTATTGTATACGACTACATGCGGTGTGCCGGCTTTTACATGCAGCGGCTGTCACCTGATCATTAACTGCTTAAACAGATTAGGGATTCCTGATTCAGGAAATCACAAGTTCTTAACGCCGGAATCCCTTATTGCATTGAAACATAGGTATTAATGGGGCCTTAATCTGTCAATGGCAAAGCCTGCTCTGGTGACCAAGAGGGGGGTATCCGCTGACTATGGAGAGATCTCCACTCACTTCCTGCTGTGTTTCTGCAACAGGAAGTGATGGGAAAAATCAACCTACAGAGGCCCAAACAGAAGACAAAACTAACAGGGGTCTGAAATATGCAACTGGAATTTGAAACACATTAATAGGGATTGTATAGGCTAATGAAACTGCACCAAATTAGTTTGACAAATTACGTTTAACAGGTAGGCTATTAAATCAGTGGAACTGAGAGTTAATATGAGAAAAAAACAAACCATAAATAATACTGAAACCGTCGGCCCCATGTTCATTACGCAAACAAAAAGAGGCGGAACCTTTCTCTCCTGTTCCTGTTTCCCGAGCAGAGGGAAGATTATACCAGGCGTGTGGAATCATCACCCGTCCTCGTGCCTATTTCCGGTAAGTGAGAAGTTGGGGGAGTAGTGAGGTCACGTGACCAGAGATCACTTTGAAGCGTATCCCGATTATTTTATCAACAGCTTTATTGTCAATAGTTTGTGTCTACACTGCAACACACAATTCTTTACAGTGGGACTGCTACATGTACAGAATAATAAAGGCAGCAAAGTGCAGTAACCTATAGCAACTAATTAGAAATCTGGTTACAGTGGGCTACTGTACCCTGGCATGGTATTTTTGAAAGCCCTTTAGATTGTGCACAGCCTGAAGCAGGCTAGGCGGATCTTTTTAAAGAGACCCTGTCATTTTGCCCTAAAGCAAAATGTTCTCCGACACACCATGGGGATTTCCACTCACTATTTATACGGTAGTAATGAGATGGAAACTTCTGATAATGATTTTTCATTGGTGTCCGTGTGTTCCTGTCCTGGCTTTTACCGAGAGTCACAAGGACAGGAAGTAACTGTAATTCTCCTCAAAGTGGTCAGTCAGAATTCTTCACTCAAATGAATTAAAATGTCTGGAGTTAGGCTTTAAAGTGTATCTCTGGACAATTTGTTTTTAAATTACAGATGGAGTGGGGGAGGCTTAGACCCGCTGTCTGAGTCCTCATTGGTGGAGATTCACCCATTTGTATGACTGACCATTGTCACCAAAACAGAAATTGAGGGGAAAGCCAACATTTTTGAGTTGTCACCATAAGAAGAGGTGAGAGGATATCTTCCAATGTGGACACTTATTCCGGAAAGAGCTAAGAATGCCGTTCCCTTCACTTTGGGAGATTCCCTGTTGAGTCTCTGGAAGAGGAAGTGAAGGGACATTTCCCCAATGGTACACACGGAAAAAAACTAAACTGGCAGGGTGTTAACCCTTTCCCTTTATCCAACACTAAAAAAGCGTTTTGACTATAGATACACTTTAAGAAAAATATATGTGTTGCCCACAGAAACCTGACAGCGTTCTCTTTACATTTCTAACCCTCACTGGGAAATAAACAGCAGCTGAAATGTCATTAGTTGCGCTGCTACCATTGTTGTACGATCTTCAATATACAGTTGGGGATAACTGTTGCTGTGATTGAGTTGGGAGTCACATACCACCACAGAGTACAAATGTGGCTTAAAGCAAACCTGTAGGGGAAAACCACAGGTTCTCTTTAGGCCCCATTCGCACCACAGCATACAGCGCTCATCGTGTCCTATGTGTGTGAGTTGTATTAAGGCAGCCCAGTCATTGTGAACGGGCTGGCACTGCAGCCCAAAGCAGCAAGATTTTAGAACAGTGTACCACAACGCATGTCTGTCAGCCCCTAGTGTGCGCTGAGGTGCCTTTTTGAAATCAATGGTACTGCAGGGCCCCACATAGATGGTGGTGCACAGGGTTTTATTGTGTGTTATTGCAACACATAGGTGTGTAGAGCCCCACCAGTTGCTCATAGTCGCCTTCCTTTTTCTTTACTTGCCTTACTATTGATTAGTAAGACAGCCCATCACAGTGATGTGCCAATAGTAAGGCACAGGGGGGCGGACCCAGGACAGGAGATTTGTCAGTTTTGTGCAGGTGAGTTTATCCAGCAGACTCTCAAGCATCGTGAGTTTATCCAGCAGACTCTTTGAAGAGTCGTCCTCATACAAAGTAAGTACAGGCGCAGTTATAATCATCTCATATTCATACGCATTTCTCTGTGGGCATTGTAACCCTCTAATAAAAATGAGAGCTGAAAAAAGATCAGACGTTTGTATATCTGGTACATGTGATGTCTAAGTACATTGTAAAGAAGTCGCTCCCTCTGCCAAGTGACCTTTAGTAAATTGTTGTGAGTACAAATAGTGTTTCTAGGCCATGCCAGGTGAAGGTGTTCAGGCTTGCAGCTGAGAGGTGAACCATACTGCGGTAGTGAACACTTAATCCGCGTCTTATACAGACATTCACTACTATACAATGTGCGGATTTCTCTGCATTGTTATGATTTTTGTACATGGTAGTCGCCACAACTATACTTCAGACTTCTGTTATATTTTATGACAATAAAGGGAATGTGCAGTGAACTAGGTTCAGGACAGGGAAGAAAAAAAAGGCCCATTCACACCAGGATGTATTGCACCACAAAGCACGCATTTCCATGCATGGCAGCACATTGAGCTACCCTGCCCACACTTGGAGTATATTCATTTTCGGTCTGCTTTCCTACGTTGGCCCTTAAGGGATTGCGCAGTGTTGTCATTTCAGGGCTAACAAAAAAATTAAAATTTTTGTTTTACTTTTCATTTTTTCATTAACATTTTTAAAATCAAATAAACCTGAAATATTACATATACTTTAATATTTACAGTTCAACCTGGCCTATTTTTTTACATAGTTTGAGCCAAACTTTACTCCCCCCATCTTTAATTGCTTTGTTTGGACTAGGCCATATGAAACTTCAGTTAGAGAACAACCATCCGAAAGCAAACTGCTTCTGCTGTGCTTCACTTTTTAGTGATCTCATAACACGCTGTGGATCCTGAAGCTGCAATCTTTACAGATTCCACAGTGCTCTGTAAATCCCGAGTCGTGGGGCACCCTGTGTTAAATGTTCATTTGTAAATTAAAGAAAACTAAAACGTGAAACAACTGTACAATCATAGGGGGAAAAAAGGAAATTGACTCCAAACTGCAGTTTTCCTTTTAAAGGAGAACTATGGGGTTAAGGCTTTTCCCCATAGTTCTCCTTAGGGTAACGGGAGGACACAAACTAGCGTCCTCCCGTCACCCTAAGCTCAGTATACCGCGAGCGATAGCTCGCGGTATACTGAGACATCGCAGTATACCGCGAGCTGCTGCTCGCGGTATACTGAGACGCTGCAGCTGAAGCAGATCCCGACAGTTATGCTGGGATCCGCCCCAACTGCGTGACTGACAGCTGGCTCTGCCTATCTAGAGGCAGAGCCAGCTGTACCCGCCCCCTCCCCCGTCCGTTCCGCCAGTCAGCGCTGGCAGATCGGAGCGGGGAGAGGGGAATCCAGCCCCTCCCCTGTCACGGCAGAGAGCCGTGACAGGATCGAGAGGTGAGCAAACGCCGGTATGTGTTCGCTCACTTCCCGATCTACTGAGCCGACCTGTGACAGTCTCATTGCCACAGGTCGGCTAGAACTATGAGGTGAGTGAGAAGCACTCCCCTCATAGTTCTCCTTTAAGCCTAATTCTGGCCTCATCCTTTAGTACTTCCCATTCTCTGCCTCTGGGTTTCCTCCTCCAGACGTTTTTTTTTGTGCTTTTTAAAAAAAAGAGTTATACTTAGTTTTTCCAGAAGTCTTCAGTTCAGTCACTTTGTCTCTTTTCTGGCACCGGGTGGTACTCAATGATGCAGGGAAACATGTTGATGTGATCTGCATCATTGTGTGTAAGTGCAGGTACTGTGGTGACGTCTCCTCAGGGGACGGGTCCATGATGCCCTGCATTTACCGGATGTTACTGTTCAGCTCACATACATACTGTACATATAAGGCACAGGAGTGAGATTGTTAATTATTCAAATAAAATAGCTGTTTGAGCCCATACTTCTCATGGACCTTTTTTTAAAATCTCCAAATCAGAAGTTTAAAGAGACACTGTAGTTAAAAAAGACAACATTTTGAAATTAATGTATAATGTAAATGCAGACCAGATCTGCATGAGTTTCTGCACATGCAGTGCAGTGTGTTTTGCTGCGTTTTTGACGCGTTCCGGGCTGTTTTTGCAAAAAAAAAACAACGTATTATTATTATAGATTTTTTAGTTTAAAATGGGCTTTCAGTGCGTTCCAGTGCATTTGCATGCGTTTTTGATGCGTTTGCATGCGTTCCAGAGCAGGTAAAATAGGGCTTGCTGCAGTTTTTTTACATGCTCTGGAACTGAACGCTGCGGTGTGAACTAGAGCCCAAAATACCATTGCAATACATTGGACGCAGTTTTGATCCGGTCTGTAACTGCTCTCCTCCTGGAACGCGCTTGGTGTGAACTAGCCCTTTGGCCTCATTCACACTGCCGCGCATATACGCGCGTATTGTACCATATGCAACACATGCAAATAAATGGCTCCATACACATAGCCGCGTATGGAGCCGTATATTTGCGGAGCGTATATATATATACGCAAAAAAAGAGATGCGTCCGGGCAGCATATTTCTGCGTATTTACGCGCACATATGCATATATACGCGCGTACATGCGTACAGCACGTTCAAAATTCCATTACGAGTGATGCATTCTGGTATTGCATATAGTGCACGCATATACGCGCATAGACACTCGTATATACGCGCATGGACGCATATATACGCAATATACAATTTTGCTTGCGTTGTGTGCGAATGAGGCCTTAAAGGAGAACTATGAGGTGAGTGCTTTTCACTCACCTCATAGTTCTATCCGACCTGTGACAATGAGACTGTCACAGGTCGGCTCAGTAGATCGGGAGGTGAGCGAACACATACCGGCGTTCGCTCACCTCTCGATCCTGTCACGGCTTTGCCGTGACAGGGGAGGGGCTGGATTCCCCCCTCCCTGCTCCGATCCGCCAGCGCTGACTGGCGGAACGGACGGGGGAGGGGGCGGGTACAGCTGGCTCTGCTTCTAGATAGGCAGAGCCAGCTGTCAGTCACGCAGCTGGGCAAATTCCGGCATAATCGGCAGGATCCGCTTCAGCTGCGGCGTCTCAGTATACCGCGAGCAGCAGCTTGCGGTATACTGAGCCTAGGGTGACGGGAGGACGCTAGTTTGTGTCCTCCCGTTACCGCAAGGAGAACTATGGGGAAATGCCTTAACCCCATAGTTCTCCTTTAAACTTACCAGTACTGTCCAGCATTAACTGTCCCACTTCCTGTCTTGCTGACAACGATAATGTTGCTTGTTCATACTAAGAGACACATTGGAATGTGTGCACTGTGAACGGAGCATTGCCAGTGTTTTGTAAAAAGCACATTCGCACTGTAACCTTTTTTTTGCTTTTTTGTTAAGGCTTTATTGAAATTTCATAAAGTGACATTTCACGCAGCACTTTGCGATGTGTGGCATACTTTTTTTCAGAGCACTCAGCAACTCGGTGGTGTGAACTGACCTAAATAGGAAACGGGACAAATTGCCTTGTCTGTGTGTTGGAACTGCGCTGGGCAAGGGGCCCCAACGGGCCTGGTGTGAACAGACCATTAAAGCAGGACTCCAACCAAACTTTTTTTATTGTTCTTGGCAGGACTCCAACCAAACTTTTTTTATTGTTCTTGCCAGGACTCCAACCAAACTTTTTTTTGACCGAGTTTGATTTGCTGTTTCTGCAGCCAGTGAGGAGGTTTTCTCTCACTTCTGTGTGGTCAGTGAAAGAGGAAATGAGAAAATAGCGGGGAAATGGATAAAATTAAAATCTTTTTTGAAAATAGAGTGGCAGGGGTGAGAACTTCTATCAGGTCTCTCTTGTTCTCCCCAATGGGGTCATTAACAGCAATACAAACTTGACAGCAGTTACAACTCTTTGCCACGCTACCAAAAATGAAAATCTATCGTTCGGCTGGCGTTGAGCTTTAAACTTCTCTCTCACTCTGCAGGATACAAGATGAAACTCCGGCTTCTCACCTGGGACGTGAAAGACACGTTACTTCGCCTACGCATTCCTGTTGGACAACAATATCAGGCCGAGGCCAACAGGAGAGGGCTTCAAGTAGATCCATCTGTGCTGGAGGCTTCTTTTCGACAAGTTTATCAAAGCTATTGGCGTCTCTTCCCCAACTATGGCCTGTCTCAGGGAATGACCTCTCACCAGTGGTGGCTGGACGTGGTCTCACGGACCTTTCACCTCTCTGGAGTCCAGGACAAGGGCACTGTACAGCCCCTGGCAGAAAAACTCTATCAAGATTTCTGCACTGCCAAGTATTGGGAGGTGTTACCGGGTGCCAGGGAAGCTCTCCAGGGTTGCGGTGACCTAGGCCTTAAGATGGCGGTTATCTCCAACTTTGACCGCCGATTGGAGGACATCTTGAGGAACTGTGACTTGGACAGACATTTTCATTTTGTGCTGACTTCTGAGGGCGCTGGTTGCTCCAAGCCTGATTTGAAGATCTTTCGCAAAGCTTTAAGCCATGCTGGTGTATCACCTCAACACTCCGCCCATATTGGAGATGATTATAATAATGACTATAGAGCACCACGGCAAGTGGGAATGTTCAGCTTTCTGCTCCAACCAGATAGTGGCCGCCTTAAAGAACAGATTCCGCCGGACCATGTAATATATTCACTTGATCAGCTTGTTCCTAAGATTCAGAGAGTTATGTCATAGATAGCTTAAACTCCATGGACTTTTTTCAACCCTACTAACTATGTAACTATGTCATAATATATTTATTGACAATGGGGAAGTGCAAAATCACTCTTGTATAATATTGGGGAAAATAAAACATTTCCAAAGCCAATTTGTTTTATAATGTGTTTTGTCCGTAACATCTAATTCTGCATATAGTTTAAAAGGCAACTCTAGACCTCAAGTAAAGTGGGCCTGTAGACAACTAATACTACACAGGGAATATTGCAATTGTATTGAAGTAGAAAATTCTACTCTACTTAAAGCTGGACATTAGCCCCTTGTCACATGATTATGAGCATTGCTATAGTCTTCTTTGAGGGCCCTGCCACACCATTAGGAGTGCGTTCCAGTGCGGTTGGCCTCTGGAACGCAACCCGGCCGGCTCAGTTTTGGGACGGTGCATTGAACTCAATGGCACCATGGCCACGCCCACTGTACGATCGCCGGCACCCAAACACGTGGCACATTAGTGCCTGCGTTCCGGTCCAGTGTGATCTGCAAAAAATAGGAACGCACTCCTGATGGTGTGACAGGGCCCTGAGGACTACAGAGGACGGAGCTCAGAACTTGGGAACACTCAGCCTTTCTACATTCTCAGATTGAGGGACAGCCTGAAATACTGGAAATATAAGGATTTAGCAAGCAGATGGCTGCACAATACACATGTCGGAGTGAGAATCAGAGCCATTAGCAAGCAGGCTGTACCTCCTGAGTCAGTTTACATGCAACATTTTAATGCAGGAGTAGAACTGAAGCCAAACCTTTTTTTTTATTTTGGAAGGGAAAGTTATAACCCTCTCAGCTTTTTTTTTTTAGGAACGGTCTTTCCTGAACCCATGCTGATTGTCATTAACTATCCCGTTTTCCTGAACAAATTCTACCAGATAATCCTTTATTATGCCCTCTAGCATTTTACAAACTACCGATGTTAGACTGACCGGCCTATAGTTCCCAGGTTGGCACCTTGCCCCCTTTTTGAATATTGGGACTACCGTAGCCCTCCGCCAATCACTGGGGATCCTACCAGTCATTAAGGAGTCCTTAAAAATGAGGATTAATGGTCTAGTTATAACCTGGCTTTGGGGAGATTTTACTTCCTGTCTGATAACCACAACAGGAAGTGAGCGGAAATCCCTCCAAAGCGCAGGAAATCCATGGTGTTCAGCAGGGTCACCAGAACCAGTGTCCCTATTGTAAGATTTTCCGTCTATTCCTGTTCTGCCGGAAAAGCAAAATTTGGGATTTTCTTTCGCTTTCAGTGATAACGGTCACCAGGACACGTAGAGAGGGCAAATCTCCCTAACGGGTACACAGTAATAAGTTTTGGCTTTTAAAAAAGTTTTGGCTTCAGTTGCACTTTAACCTCTTGCCGTCCGCCCGTAGTAGAAAAACGGACGGACGGCACGGCTGCATCTGCGGGTTGCCGTCTCCAGACGGCAATTTTTTTCTGCTCGCGCGCGCCCCCTAGCGGGCACGCACGGGCAGAAAAGACCCGATCAATGCACACACCCGGTACCGGGTGTCACACATATAGGCGATCAGCGGGTCCATAGCCCGCCGATCGCCTATATGTGCTCGTTCGCGGCACCCCCCTAGTGCCCCTAGTGGTCACATTTTGGAGTGCTAGATTAAAGCCCAACTGTGGATACCTTTGTTTTTATACTTTTGGATGTGTTAATATTTTGTACTTCTTCCCTTTATGTATTAACTGTGTGCTTTCATGAGAACTATCCTAAACACTGTATTTATTGGGAGCTGTACTTCCGGCTCCCTGCAGCATTGGGGCAGCTGCAGCTTCAACACGGGCTATGCTCTGTAATTGGGAAAGTGGACAGAGGGGGGAGACATGACACTAGCACTTGCCACCTGTCCAGGATTCACCCGGACAGTCAAGGTTTTGAATGCTGTGTCCGGGTTTCATAGCAGCAGAAACCCGGACACAAGATGTCAGGCAGACAGGGGCAACCAAAATTAAGATAGGGGGTACTAGCCCCTCACTGAAAATAGTCTCAACTGTGATATTTACATAAAAATGGGTGACGCTATTTAATTACATATGAATAAGCTACAACTCAATCTCCCCCAAAAATGCCTCCACGTCGGAGGCGTGTTCGGGTTTCGCTTGAAGAAAAGGTGGCAACCCTAACTAGCACTTGTGTCTTTCATAGACACCTCTGCAATGCAGTGGGGAACCAGAAGTAAAGGTCCTACTGTCCTTTCAGGGGCAGTTAAATACAGTACACAGTGCATAAAAGTCATGAGAACAAAATGTTAAGATGCTGCCTTTTCTTGTCATCACAGGCATAGGTCAGTGTAAATTCAGCTTTGTTTATACGCAGTTCCATTGTACACCACAGACCAAGAAAACAAAAAAGAAATCAGGGACCCGAGTAGATGTACATTTTGCTTTTCATAGTTGGTTGTTTGGAATACTATGAGATGGGGATATGCAAGATTTAGCCAAACCTGCACAGGGACTGCCTTCCTCCAGCCCTCTGCGATTCAGTTCTTCGGTGATTACACAAGTGCAGTGCAGCACAGAAAATATATTAAAGCAAACAGGAATGTAGATCAGATTACTTCCTTGTTCTCAGTCCAGGTCTGCAGGTACAGTACAGGTTGCATACAAGGAGAATGTAAACAAAGCAATAAACAACATTCTCCCCAGCCTGTGATGACAACCCTAAAGTACATGGAAGAAGGTAAGAGGTTATTCCTAGGTGGAGTTAAATCTGACATGTAGGCAGGTATAAAAGTCGATGCAGTTCTGTCATCACTTATATATCCTTATATGTAATTTTGTACCAGAATCTCATCTGGTATCAGTCTTTTACACTTCCTGTGCAGCAGGACTGGAGTGTGGAGGAAATAGCAGCACCAGGAGCCAATCAGTTCATGTGCTGTATTTTTAAAATACAAGTAGCATAAGTACCTGAACGTGTATTAGCCTTTTGACAGGAACCGTACAGCAGTGCTCAGACTGTGGGAAGGAGAAACAGCACAAGGCGTCACTCAGTTGTGCTGCAATGCAAGGAGCTTGCATGCTGGTGGAAGGGGAGAGCAGAATGACAATAAATGTGCTGCTTCTCATTTCTCTGTCCAGTCACAGGCTAGGTGTTCCTGAACTGCAGCAGGGAAAGATTAGGTCTGCTTCCCTGCCAAATCATTTCAGGGCAGAAATACAAATCATGTGACAGCTAAAATGGCTCCCACATATGCATTTCCTCTGTGTATTTAGCCATTTGCTGGAGTTCAGCATTAAGGATCTATTATATATTCTAAAAGTGCCGGTATCCTTTAAAACAAGGTAGTGAATTAAAATTCAAGGAGGTTCAGTGAGTTGAACTTTCATTGAGCTGAGGTCCGAATTGTGGTCTGGACAGAACGGTCACTCAGTCCGCAAAAATAATTGCAACGCTCGTTTTTAAGCTTTTTCTATTAAATCTATGGACACAAAATGCGCTGAAATCTGCCCCAAAGTAGCTCATGTACTATTTTGCGTGACAGGCGTTTTTAGGAATGCAACAAAGTGCAAAGGCGTGAACAGGGGCCATAGAAAATAATGGTATTCCTGGGGTTGAGTGTTTTGTCGCGCTGAATCAGCTGCGACAAAATGCCTAGGTGTGAACGGGGCTTTAGTCTGCGTCCACACCAACAGCTGCACTACAACGCACAGCCGCTTGCGTGTGTTCCCCGGCATTTAGACTGGATTCACACTAGACGACACCGTGTGTATTACGCATGTCTTTTTTGAGTGGTTGTTGCGCAAGTATATTAAGTTGCGCGTTTTTGTGAGCAGATTTCGACACAGGCTGGGCTCACACCTAGGTGACAGCGTTTTTGCGCGTTTCTACTAAAGTTTATGTGCGCTTTTTGCACGTTTTTGCGTGCGCTTTATGCGCATAAATCAGATTGCGCGTTTTTGTGAGCAGATTGTAGCTCATTAATGTGAATGAGCAAACGCTTGTACAACGGGTGCCAAAACGAGCTGTAATATGCCAAAAGAAGCTGCTGTACTTTTTCCAGCAACAGGCGTTTTGGCTTATTGCGACAAAACCCTCGGATGTGAACAGGGCTATAGACATTAATGGGATTTTTGGGGGGCATATTTTTTTAGCTTTTTTTTATGGCAGAAAAAGCGTTACAAAACACTCAGTGTGAACCAGGCCTTAATGTGACTGTGCAAAACGTGCAAAAACGCGGACATTTTTTTTCGAGCGACAGGCGTATTTGTGCTTGCGACAAAACTCACAGTTGTGAACGGTGGCCATAGAAATGAATGGGAGTGCTTGGGTGGAGCGTTTGGTCACGCTGAATCAGCTGCGACAATACACCTAGGTGTGAATGGAGCCTTGGACTACCCTTCCCTCCAATACAGACCATCAAACACAGAATTGTGCATGATCATCTGTTTACCCAGCACTTCAGCCAGTTTTTGACAGCTCTGAAGCAGGAAGCGCTGAGAGCACAGCACTTCCTGCGTCATTCAGCACAGAGCATATCTGGGGATAGACTTTTCTCTGTCTGCTCCCACTCTCCATCCTGGCATTGTTTGCAAGGTCCCAGGCCCCCCCAGAGAAGCGGGGGACCTGAAAACCATGGGGGGGGGGGCACACAATAGCAGGCTAGTACAAGTGATCTGGGTGGCTCTGCAGCCACCCAGATCACTTATAGTTGTAGCATCCAGCCCTGTCTGAGGTCATTGGTTGCTAGAATGCCAGTGGACCTAGAAACCAATGACTAAAGTGGAGGGGAGCCTGTGCTGGGTTATGGTTGGAAGTGGATGCACCGGCCTCAGAGGCTGGTATGGGCAGCCATAACCCAGTGCAAGTCAGCAATCGTGGCCCAGACAGAACCAGCACTTGGACAGCGGTCTGCTATTTAGTGACGTCTACTTTAAGACATTCTGTGTAATTTGTTTGTTATTCCTAAAACAGTTCATCGCTATGTTCGCCTCCATCGGGTGTATAAATCTTTCTACATATAAAAACCTGTGAAATATCTTAATTTAAAGTTTCATTTTCACCTTTCACGTCTCACATACCGTATGTGAATTCAGCTGTTTGGTTGATACCTAGTTCTTTTACAGAGTAACAAGTTGTAGTAGGCCTGTACATTGACCTTCATGTTCCACATATAATAACTTCATCTGTTTTGTTTAGTCGTCCTTGGGGAAAAAAATGAAACAGTTTCCTTGTGATCAAAGTCCAAGTCCAGTATTTCTAGTCTGAAACATAATAATGTTCAAGATAAGTAGGGACAAAACAAAATCAAATCCAAGGCTGAGGATTGCTTATCAGCCGTCCAGTGACAGATGATGCTGTGTGCAGTCAATCAGCACTCAGTAAAGGTAAATAAAGATTTGGCTTCTGACTGGAACAGGCAGTGCCAAATATGTGTCCTTTCTCCACAGCTACAGACACACTCTGAACAATGTTAAAGGGAACAAGTCAGGGCTGGACTCATGAAAGGATTTCAATAATCAGTATGAAATTGGACAGGCTAACTTGTGACACATTAATGTACTACTTTGAGGATGACTCTGGAGCCAGAACCGAGAGGTGCCATGACAGTTGCTGGCCTTTCCACTGGCTGATAACACATACCATCTCCCAAGAGTGCATAAGCATATTAAACTACTACTTAAGAAGAATGTTAGTCCCCTAGGGGGGTTGGTAATGTAGTAATAATAATTGAGTCACAGCAACAACAAAAAACAAAACCGGAAAGGAGGGGGTCCAACACAGCCTTTTGCCTCAAAAAAAAACTTGATTGCTAAAATGAATGCGTAAACGAGTGTTACCACAATGCATTGCAACACCCCTGTTCTATGTGCGCTGACATTCATTGTGCTGACCCCAACGCACTGTACAATAGACAACAATGCACTACAGCACACCACAATGCACATACCTTGTTGTTCTGCATTGCATTCCTAAAAAAAGGGTCATTTGCATTCTTTCAATCCTTTTAGGTGCGTTGAATTGCAACGCCCAACACCCTAGCATTCCACTGTGGTGCACTGAAACACACTACAGTGGAATCCAAATCAGCCCTTTGGCTTTATTCACTAAGGTTTGTTGCCTAATTTTCATTCTTCAGGTCTGACAAAAACAAACCCAGGTTCACAGATGCCATAAGGTACTCAGAATAAAAGTCTCTGGTGTCACACTTTTGCATAATTAATTTTCCTTTCAATGGAAACACATAAAAACGCATGTGTTAAGATGCATGTCAATGCTTAGTTGTGAATAGATTAGGGGTCAGTCCTTCCAAAACTGATGTTATAGTTTTGAATGGGTGCTACAGTGTTGATTAACTGACTGGACATTGAGATTCATGCACTTAAATTCCCAGCTACACTATGACCATCACAAGAGAAGGGGTCTCAATCTCCATGTCTATATACTGTATATATAATATAATGATTTGTTTTACATTTATTTTACATTATGCAGAATGCAGAAGAAGTGAGCCTGCAGTAGATGTTGGTACAGAGCCAGAAACATTGGTGGGGATATAGAGGAATAATGGGGTGATTCAATCCACCAGTATCTTTTCATAACAAAAACATCAGTTTTGAAAGGAGTTTGCATTTAAAATAAATTTTTGCACAATAAAGTGTGGGTAAAAAACCAAAAGCAATAGCCTAATACCGTGTTTCCCCGAAAATAAGACACTGTCTTATATTTTTTTTGGCTCAAAAAAACACACTAGGTCTTATTTTCGGGGTACCGTAGGTCTTATTTTTATTTTTTTTTAAATGTACAACATTAATAGCTCTTTATTGTACAACATTAATAGCTCTATTGACAGAATAGCTCTTTCTTTTTGCACTCATCTTTCAGCAGTTTGGTAACCAATCGCTGAATGAGTGCTTTCACTATGATTCCTCACAGGCGGAGTGCATTTGGTATCACTCCGCCTGTGACAGGAGCCAACGCTATAGAGGAAGCATCGGCTTATGCGGATCTGCTCCCTCCACTGCCGCCTTGCGTCCTCCGGGTTATGCTGGCTCCGCTGATTCTCTCCCGCGGCTCTTCAAGTACCCCCTCATGCCACCACCGGCCACAACTACGTCTTATTTTCACGGTAAGTCTTATATTTTAGCAATTACAAAAAATAGTACTAGGTCTTATTTTTGGGGAAACACGGTAGGTTTTGCTTTTTATTAAAGCTGAACTCCAGTAAAAAGATTGTTTTGGTCACACAGCACCAGTCACATAAGTTACCTCTAATAAAGCGTATCCCATGACCTGTTGGCTGCCAGTTACTGTATAAATCCTCCCCCCATTGATGACGGATACTTCCCATAGAGGTGATCTTCTGGTGCTGCAACAACGAAAGGTTGTGGCTGTGACTATGAAGGATCGTGCCATTCATCATTCCATTCCTGTCCCCTAGTCCATTTACAAAAGTCCTTGTATTATTTTCCCAGAATGCAAGGCATTGTGTAAATAGAGGAGGGTGGATGGATGGCATGTCCATTCACAGAACACCTTGCATTCTGCAAAAACAATACTAAGAGTTTTATAAATGCATGACGGGACAGGAAGAGCAAATAGTGCGATCCTTCCAAGTCACAAACCAAATTCCTAACTCCCACAGCACCTGAAGATCACACTGTGGGGGTATCTAGAATCAATGGCGAAAGTGCCATGCATCCTTAGTTTCTCTCCCCCCACGCTGGGCGCTGCTCTGTGTCCCCTCTGACACAGCGCAGCCTCCAGTGTGGAGGAGAGATACTGTCAGAGGAGGCCGAGCGGTGCGGGGAGGAGAGTGCTGTGAGCCGGTCACAGGAGGTTGAGCTCTCCTCCTGCTACGCCCCACTCAGCCTCCTGTAACAGACCAGGAGAGCAGTGTGTGGGCTGAGATAGCTGCCAGCGCTGTCACAGGAGGCCAAACCGGCGATTATGGGGAGCAGTCAGCTGTCAAATGGACTGAGCTCTCCTCCCGAACCGCCTGCTCAGCCTCTTGTGACAGCGAGTCAGGATGGAGAGCGGTATACAAATGTGCAGCGTTCCGTGATGTCATTTTTTAAATTTTTGGTTTCGGTCTCAAAATTTAATTTCGGTGCACCTCTACTTGTAAGCAAACACACTTGCTAAA